ACACTTTGTAAGGAAGAAAATGTGTAACACCGTCAGCAAAAAAAAAATATCAAAAATCAGCGGGACTTTTCAGCAACTTTACACTCGCACTTTATTTTACTAAAATTTAAATCAATTCAAAACAAAAAGTTTGCAATTTAAAAGAAACTTGCAGAACTTTCTAATTTTTGCACAACTTTTGAAATGAATTTATATGGGTTTTGTTCGATAATGAGCAATAGTTTTATAAAAAATTAATGGCATTAAACAAAGGAATGAAAATATGCAAAACTGTCAAAATGTCGCGTTTCTATCATTTCGGCCATAAGAATACGTATCGTCGTTTAAAGTACAAAACCGCGTATTAAGTTCTGAACACATTGAAAACGACGAGCTACGGACCAATTTGTCATCTTCATTATCTAAATAATGCATTGTCGATGGCGACATGATTTATTTGAACGCGGCAGCGACATCATAAATTTGTATGAGTTTGACATAAAAGAAGAGGAAGAACGTTATCTGTCCCCAGAAAAATAGAAATAGATCTAATCTAGCCACAACCACAGCCACAGATAGCGGGGTCTTACTTTAAACGACGATATATATGTGTACTTGCCTGGTTTAGATCGTCGGAATTATTTGGTTCTTCATGGTGCACTTTGGATTTTTCCGGAGTACTAATATCAACTAAAGTTAAAGGCATTTATTTTTAAAACACATTTAAGAGTATATGAAACAATAAAAGTACTTACTTGCATCACCATCAAATGCATTTTCCATTCCAGTGGCTGACTCCCCCAAAATGGTAGCAACTTTTTGCGTTATTACGCTGTTGCTCCTTACAGCCGCCGAACCACCACCTGTGCGATATAGCTCGCATTTTTCTGAGGCCATTTCGGCTTTGGATTTTCGTTTTAAGCTCTCGAACTTGTCCCTTAGAGTCTTCCACTCTCGTTGGACACCAATCCTTGCAGTAAAGCGCTCCGCCAACTTTTTCCAGGCCTCCTCCTTTTGTTTCCAAGTTACCGCATCTGATTTTTTGCTTTCAATTACATCTCTTTGGTCATCGACCAACTCCACTAACACAACTTCCTCCTGAGAAGTAAAATTTTTACCTCGTTTTCTTTTTAATTGTGAGTTTTCCATTGCAAATTAATTTCAATTATCAGCTGGTTTTGTTTACTTCTTACTTGTACGGCATTGCCAACACTAAAATCTTATAGCCAATGTAGTAGATTTTTACTTTGGCCTTGCCATAATTTCAGAATAACAAATTTATCTTTACAGGTGAGATGAGAAAACGAAAATACCTAAAACGCGCTTTAAAGTGAGGAGCAATTTTTCCGCCCAGTTAGTAAAGGTAACTTTATTGCTTACATTAGAAAACGGCCCTTAATAATTCATTTAAACTTAAAATTTTGAACAGCTGGCAACTCTCTTCAAACCATCAAACAAAATGTAGATTTTTTAACTGAAGATTTCTTAGCACTCTTTCGTATAACACCCACATTTTAATACTGCATATAACTAAATTCGGCTTTTAAAGCAGGTGGCAACCCTTTTCAAAACATTTTCAAATTACTACCTTTTTAAACTCCTTTAGTCTGGACCCCTATGGGGGCAACATTTTGTAAATTACTTATGTAATTTCCCTGTTTAAAATTTAATTTGATTTTTTAAACAGGGGCAACAATCTCACAGTTAAGAAGCAGTTCGACTGATACCTATGGCAACTCTCTTCAAAAAGGAAAACCTCATTGCACATCTGCAACCAAGCCTTTTAATTTTACACCTCATTTTTGAAAATCGAACGAAGGATGGGGATATGATAGTATTGATTTATAAATAATCTATAATAATGATACCTCATTTTTGAAAATCAAACGAATGGTTCAGATCTGATGACCAGGACAAAAAGTCCTTTCGCGTATTATATATATAGATTTAGTTAAATTCTGTTGAAATCCTTTCGGCAATCCGGCAATAACCACGCTCACCTGCAATATAACGGTAATTTACAGAAACACGGAAAGTGATTGTAGTAATGACCACTGAGCAAATAATTAGATTATTATATATTTTTGGATTTTGGGCGTGGCTCCGCCTACTTGTAACCAAAAATGTGTATCTCGTTAAACGATTTATCAATTTCTACCAAACTCGGTGCATTTAATAACCTTGGTACAAAAAGGCAATTCGCTGAAAATTATTCAAATCGGACCAAAATTTCACCGACTTCCCGTATAACGTTAATTTTTGGATATACGAAAACTTCACTTTAAATAAAACGCCACTTTAAATAAAAAAGGTAGTATCTCAGAGGTAGTCTGGTTAAGATCCGATCAGTGGACCATGAGATATATATATATATATATATTTTTTATATGAGAGTTGAAGTCGGTTTTTTTTTGTTAAGAATTACTAGTTTAAATTCAATATCACACGGAACCAGCTCAAGCACAGTAGTGGTAGGAAAACCGCACAAGCGTCATAGGTTGCTTGCAATTTGACAAGCAATAAATAGTAGACAATTCTATGGCATGCGTTGAAATTCAAATAATTTTCTGCATTTCTAGCAAATGTCATAGATAAGTGCATGTGTACTTGCACTTGTGTGGTTTACGCTAGCACGTGTGCATGCTTCTATCGCTATGTACTTATGTATGTGCGCATTTCAGAAATTTGGGGCTCGCATTATTGCACAAATTGTTTACAAGCTGAAAGCAGGAGAAAGTCCATGCAATCGACCGAAGACTTTCCCTCAGAAATAAAAAATTGTGAAAATGTTAAAAATAAACTGGTTTCTCCACATATTCCGAGCATATTCTAGCAGAAAAAAAAATAAGCGTAAAATTTTATGGTGGAAAAGCAACAAAATAAGCAGCAGTTGGAGGGGAGATACAAAAGCGATTTTCAGTAAATTTGTACGAAAGATTTAAAGTGCAGCAGCACATCGCACAGTGTTGTGACTACTTATGTATGTAGTATATGGAGGAAATAATAGTTAACGTGGGTTGAATAATTGGCACGCCTTCCACCTTGTGGGCGGAAACATTAAATTTCATCCGATTTCGATGAAATTTACTTTGTACTCACTCCTTTATTAGGAAACCATAAATATAAAATATGGGTAGCATTGGATTACTACAACGTCCAAATCTCACAAAAAATGTGAGCCAAGTCATTAAATGTGATGGAGTTTTGACTTATTATTTTTCGGCTTTCCACTCTCAGAAAACAAAGCTTATACTTTAAAATTACATAGGTGTAAATATTCTCCTTTCTCCCAATATTTAGTAAGATTTTTCCATTGTTCGAAAAATTCTATTCGCAAAATTATGCAAAAAGTAGCTGAAGATCGAAAATTACATGTATTTGCTAAGTAGCCTGAATAAATCCAATTATATACTCGAAAACTACATAAAATTATGTGAAATTTTATATTTAGGACTTTTACTTTTCTCTCTCCAAGCCCAACGGTTTTTTTTATCAACTCTCACCATGACTTTTTCCCACCTGCCTCAATATAGTCGAAACACTGTGCCTAAACACGCTTTCTGCCTAAAAACGAAATGTATATATATTAGGATGGTTCAAAAAAATTTTAATTCTGACTTTTAATGTCCTCACCCCTATAATTTTTCGGAAAACACTGTTTGTTTCAGGAGACTTCAAAAATTTTAACCAATTATTTATTTTACCATTTTTTAATAGTAACCATTTTTTATAGGTCCTCCAAAAACGTAAAAAAAAAATGCAATGGGGGGAACATAAAAAAATTGTTAGTATTTAAAAGTATAAAATAGGCTTTTGGATATTATTACGGAAAGTCTCCTGAACATAAGCAGAGTTTTCCGATCGAAAAATATTGATTTTCAAGAATTCTGCGATTTTTTTTTCTTTCAAATAAAATACATGGACAACTTTCAGCGCTTTGAATATATTTTGATTTAAAAATAAAATAGCATGGGTATAGAACCATGCTAGGGGGTGTGAATATTAAAATTCCGACTTCAGTTTTTTTTTTTACCACCCTAATATATAATAGAAAACGACTTGTCCCATGCTTACAAATGTATTTGTGCATGTACTTAAAATTGTCCTTACAAACATAAATAACTGATAATGTAGATATGTGGACAAAAGAATTTTCCTTTATCATTTGTTGCACTCGAATATTGTTATTAATATGTTAAAAGATATGTACTAAATACTTTTTAGAAGCGCAGCAAGTAGAGATATTGCACTAGAAATGCTGAATATTAACAGGTTTTTTCCTTCGTTTTCGACATAACATACAATTTTGTATTACGGAAATTAATGTGTAATATATCGAATAAAAACTTAATTAAGAAAAGAGGAAAATGACGGAGATTTAGAAAATGTGATTATCTTCTCCTACTTTTGCGTTGTAACCGGTTGAGCGATTTTGCCGTTTTTCTTCTGTGCCAACTGACGCCAATTTGAGGTGCCATGTGAAGCCAAGTCTCCATCATATTTGTTGTTTTTCATCCACGTAATTGCTATCCGTACCTCGTCGTAGCCGAGTGTTGGAACATCGGCTCCGCTGTCTTTGAGTGTGTGGTCGACTTCATCTACTCCGCTCATTTCAGTGCCGTTACCATTTAGAAGGGAGGAGAAGTATCACTAAATCGCCATTTTAGTTCTTGCAGGAGTCCGCCCTGATCGTGAATCGTTCCGTTATTTGCTTGACTTTCTGCTAAAATGTTCCTACGTTTTTCCTCTGAGCCAGCATTTCAGCTCTTCGCACTCACGCATTACGGCCTCTTCTTTTTTTTTTGTTACAGAAAACACGCCTCGCTTTTCCCTTCAGTTCTCTATATCGGTACTAAATAGATCGCGTTGCACCAGATCGCAGTGTGGATTTGTTAGCCGCATTGTTTTCTCTGCAGCGGTGTGACACTCATCGTGTTACCGGCTGTGAGTTTAGGTGCACTTAAAGTGCTATGTTTAATTTGCCGAACAGTTATTACAGACAACGCTTTCCCTATATTTCGTTACACTAAGTTAAAATACTTAATTAATTGTATTTTTTGAATAAACAAATTTCTTTTTCCTTCTGTCAGTAAACTGCTTTTGTTACAAATAGTATAAATAAGCAATGGAAAATAAGGAAAAGTTTGTTTTATTTCCAATCTTTGTTGGAAATAAAGCAAAACTCAGATTTTGGTATTATAACCCATTTAAAAGTGAAGAAAAGCAAATTTTGCGTTATTGCCGTTTGTGTTATTTCGTTCAAATGAAGCCATTAATATACCAACCGTGTTCCTTCTTGAACGAATGTGGTCGAATTTCTACTTGTCAATTCGCCACTTTTACAATTCGTCTTAATATTTATGAACTGATTTCTTTGAGTATTGCTGCTGCATTAACGGCCGCCTCGAGCAATTTCGTTGATCGGAGGTAGATGCAAGATCGCATTAACGGTGTATGAGGGCGTCAGACAAAGGTGCGCTTACATAATTTCATTTAGCCATCTGAAAGAAATTCGTATAAAAAAACATAGGGCCAAAGCAGACCAAACACATGGGGTTTCTATATATCACGGCTGCAGCGCCATCCTTGGGTCCCTTTTCTGCAAAACCATTGCTTATCATGAAATGAATACGCATTATGAATTTCAACCAGGTTGTATAAAAAATAAGGATTTTCTAAATATCTCGACTCCAGCGCCACCCAGCGGGTGCATCTTTAGCAAACCAATTCATCATATAGGTGGCTCACATTGCGAATTTAAACTAGATCGGTCAATAAATACGACTCTAATAAATAGACTGCGGATTTTTATGCAGAAAACGAAGTCATAAAATATGCACCGCCTAACAATAAGCAAAAAATAAATAAATTTGTATACATTTTGCTTATATATAGTTATGCAGCCGCTGTGGTGTAGTGGTAAGCAGGGCGCGCTTACACCCTGCAGGACCTGGGTTCAAGCCCTGGTCAAAGCAACATCGCAAAAAAAATTAGAAAAAAGGTTTTTTCTTAACAGCGGTCGCCCCTCGGCAGGCAATGGCAAACCTCCGAGTCGCTATCGCAGTGTGTAACCAGATATTGAGAAACTGGCCCTTAGCCGTAACTTGCTCTCTCCATTAGCGATTTTTCATCTGCTGCTATATATAGATCTCCGGCGATGAATCGTTTGTGTAGACCGCTCATCGCAAGCATAAACTGTTAAATAGTTGGTTTCACAGCTTGTCTTAGCTTCATATTTTGATTTAGTTGTTTTTTTTTTTCTATAAAATATTTGCTCAAAAGAACGTGGAGTAAGCAATTTTCGCGAATACAGTAATTGTCGTTATGTGCCGTAAGCATTTTTTGAAAT